AGAGAAGGTTTTTAATTAGTTAATAATATATAAAATAATAAAGATCAAAGACTAAATTTAAATCTAAATTAATCTAGTGGCGCTTGCTAATTGGTCCCTGGCACAGGTGCCAAAAACTTGTTACGGGTAAACTTTACCTATAAAAATTTTATCTGTAATAATAACCGCAAGTGCACATGCAAACGCAGTAGTACTTAGGGCTTGACTGGTTTAAACGCAGCGGTTGCGGTTGCGGTTGCGGTTGTGGGAGTTTGCAGACGCGGACGGTTGCGGTTTCAAGCGTTATTCAGTGTTTTGACCGACTAGTTTAGCGGTTGAAAATGGGTACGTTTGCGGGAGATTTACGACTGGTTGATCAGCTGGTACGATAGCGGTTAAACCAAAATTAATTTAATATATGATTATAAAAAAGTATAAAAACACCAAAAACTATCATTATAAAAAAGTATAAATTTTTATATATAATTAATTATTAAAAACCATAAATAATTATTCAAATAAATTTTATATTGAAAACAAAATAACTATTAATATTGGAAAGTTAAAGTTGGATAAAAAAAAATTTAGAATTAACGTGATATATATATATATATATATAAGACTTGATAATATATATTTTAATTTGTTCATTTTCTTTTTTTAGTTTCTTTCTTTTTTAAAATTAATCGCAACCGCCCGCAACCGAAAACGCTTGCGGGAAAGAGCTTTTGAAATCTAGCAATTTCGAGCAGTTCGAAGTGGTACGGAGCGGTTTCTATGATTGGTACCAACTGCTAACAACCGCAACTGACCGCTAACAACCGCTAGGCGGGTGCTAGCGGAAGAACTAATCAAACTCTTAGAGATCAAATCCACAGAGACAAAAGAAACACACAAAAGATTTGCAAAGAATTTAAACTAAGCTAGGACAACAGAGAATTACAAGAACTTAGAGTGTTTTGCAGAAGTCAAATAAATAAATAATAAAATACTATAATATATATAATAATATAAAAAATAGAGTTTCAGAGAATTCATCAGAGAATATATGAAAGAAATATAAGTTCGATTATGATTCTAAACTATTTTTGAAATCAAACTTCTAACTTAAATTACCTTAGGGGTGTATTAGTGATAACTCCTATGAAGGGAATACATGGCTTCCTAAACCTTGGTTAAGCTTGGTTCCAAGTAATCCAATCACGCATTAAGAATAGAATCCAATAAATTCACAAAACCGTATGATCTACAACTTTTGGTTAGGTTAGTCAAAGATGGTTTGCTTGAGGAATTAGATCATTGACAACAGGTGAATTGGCCTAATTCATCTAAGGCTTTAATAACAACTAAAGATAGAGGACAATTAAAGATCATAACAGAGAAATTCACTTAGGTCTAACATGCAATCGATCTCTTTGGGGATTCCAATCGATCGATAAAAAAGCAAGTCGATCGGTACCGATCAGTGAGGTGCAATACCGATCGGTAAAACTCCATGATAAGACTACTTAGACACGACCAATATATGTGTGATCATTGTAGAAGAGAGATCACGAGTTCTAAAGGAGATCTACTAAAGAAATTTAAATTCTAAAGCATAAACAATAAAGAAAAGATTTTAGGAAGGGAAGAACACTTTAGAAGTATAAAATTGTAAAAGTAAAGCATATCTCTGCAGCTACATAATACAAGAGTATATATAGAAATTGGGACGCAGCCCTAGAAGAGAGAAAGAGGCGGTTTAAATAAAAGCCCACCAATCGGTGGACATGTTCAATCGATCGGTGGCCCACGTGTTTCTCCACTGGTTGGTGCAAAACTCCACCAAACAGGCCTCCTAATGGAGTTTCTTTTCTTTTGATGATTTTCGGCTCATTTCGTCTTCAATATGCTTAATTTTGTTTTGAATGTCCAAATTCCTATATCAATTATTTTTATCGAGAACGACTTTTTCCCGAATAAAAGACTCGATAAACATATAAAATAAACCTATAAAATATCTTAAAAATATCACTTAACAATTAGTATCACGGTTGGGTCTTCGAATTATCTTAATCGAAGGTGTTTGGTGGCGGTCGTCTTTGTAGTTTGGTGTTGAGTGGAAGTTTCCTGTTAAATTATTTCACCTCTTCCGGTGATGTCTCCCCCATCTTTTTGCTAGAACTGGATGATGCATGTTTTATTTCGCCTCAAAGTTTTCCCTTAGAGACTACACGGAATACTACAAGTGCACAAGATGTAGTATTTAAGGATCAATCCCACAGAGACTTATAAGTACTACGAATTCAATGGAGAGGGATATGTCTAAGACAAATCAAAAGAGGATGTTTGGTTTTGGGGTTTGTCACGAAACTAAACAGAAAATAAAAGCTAAATATTCTTTTGTGTAACAACCCGACCAATTCTTTTTTTTTTGAAAAACATCATAATTAAATAATCCCACAAATACTTAATTAAATCCACCAATAAACCAAACAATAACCAAACAATAACCAACCAACAACTCCAATTATCAAGATTAAATAATCTAATATAACTATAAATAATCAGCAATCCTAACAGTTTCTGAACAAGGTTCCAATAATATAACATAAAAGATACAACCACAACGAGTTCTTAGATCATCCTGCCTTCCTTGCAATGATTTTACGTCACACCTTATCTTTACATGTACCATAAATAAAGAGATGCGTAAGTATTATCACAAAAATCTTGTGAAGGGATCATTCCATAAACAGGCTATACACACAAGAAAGATAGAAAAATCAAGACAGAAAGCAATAACCAATTAACAAATCAAACCAGGCAATTTCAGAAAGCTGACCAGCCGGACCTGGTATCGACCGACACTCACTTAGTGTCGATCGTCACCTCGACACACAAGCGGTGTCGACTGACACCCACCTGGTGTGGATCAACACAGACGCCGCAACAACCCTTCTATCTTTGATTTGTTTTGTTTTCTTGTTGTGTTTGCATTTTTAAATTATCGATCATCAATCCTTCACAAAAGAGAACGATCGCCAGTTTATGAAGCCATCCATCTTTATCTTCTACAAACCTCACCGCCAAGTCTTGTTAACCGAATACCCGAACGCCTATGCCTGCAACATGGGCTGCTACTTCTCCCCCACTTAATTACAATATACTTTAAAGTGTTTGGGCAACAAGAAATTCGTACCAGGAACCTTATAACTTTGGGTTGAAGAGTTGACCTTACTCCTCATGTTCTACGGTGTATTGTTTCATTGAGCAGCAATAGACAATCATATGTCTTACCATCTCATACGCTCCACACTCATAATCATAGCTTAGATATACATACAATCAGGTAATCTAACAACCTAGCATCACACGTCATCTTGAATCGCTACTCTACAATATTCTACAAGCATCACACCACATCGCTCAGTCATCTCAACCACAAACAACTGCTCTATTCGCGTCTATCTTCTTTCCTCAGCCTCGTTAGTCGTTAACGAGCTATGATATCGATATGGCTACTTTATCCATGCCCATACATCGAAGACCGAACAAACAATATTGCTGCACCTTCTTACTTCTACCTACCTAGCAACAATTAACAATTGACCTGGGTTCAAGCATCCCAAATGACATATTTACTCTTTTTTTTTTCTATTTCAACTTAAATGCATGTTTCTTTGTCTTATATACTTTAAAAAATTAAAAAATAACAGCGGTTTATATACTCTTTTTTCATTTGCTTATGAAAATATTTGTTTTAAAAAAATATTGACCCGGGTAAAATTTATTTCTGGGTCCGCCACTACACCGAACAAGCAATATTTCTGCACCTTCTTACTTCTAGCTACCTAACAACAATTAACCTAATCTACAACTACTTGGACACAAAACAAGAGGCATAGATATTAAAGAAAAAAAAAAAGAAAAACAAGAGGCTTATAGACATTCAACGAGTCCATGGATCAACATTCTTCCTTCTAGCCTAATGAACTGACTAGCTGCGGAGGTACAGATGTTAAGATTATAAATACGTTATGCAATGGCCCAGCATTATATTAGAAAATAGTTTTTTTTAAGTTAAATATCTTTTTCTTTTTCTTTTTTAAACCTCAAGTTAACTATCTTTAAGTTGGTAATTTTCTATTATTTTATTAATAAATTTGTAATAAATATCATTATTATTCAAAAAAAATTAATTTAATTTAATTTTAATAACATACTTTAATTTATACAACAAAAAAGTTACCAGTCGAAAACTCAAACTCACCATATAAATATATAGTTCTCACCGTAAACTCATACCCATACGAATAAATATGAAATCCCGTATTTTCGCTTATTCTAGCAATTTCTCATGACATTTGATCAGCATTATCTTGTGGAAACTTCTTTCTGATGTGACTAAGAATTATTGATAGCAATTTGAGCACAAAAATATAAGTATCTGTGTTAATTGAAAAAATGGAATCAGTAGAACATAGTTACACTAAAGCTCCATAATTAGATCTTGTATTCAGAAACATATTCATATGAGAACAACAGTAAACTAATATGATGTAGACAATAAATGAAAACTCATAAGTTTAGCTGAGGATGATGTTTGCTTGATCACAACAAGATAAAAGCATAAAGATAAGTAGCAAAATCCCTTCCTCTATTCATACTAATTGCGTCTATAGATTTCTTCAGCGGATGACATGAAGATTGATTGTGTAAACAAAAGTTCCTCTTGCATATGCACATCCATCTTTTGATACACACCTTCCATTTTGCTGTTCTGGCTCTTAGTTTCCCGAGTCAACATCGTCGCCAAACCTCAAGCAATAGTCTTTCACCAGTTGTGCATAATACATAAACTCTTACATTATTTCACCATCTCATTAGTTGAGTATACTTACTTATAAAATCCCGCGACTACAATGATGCTTTGCTTATAAAGAAAAACTATTTGCTAGTTATTTTTGGTAGCAAGAGTACTGATATATCTAAAGACATGACTAATCTACTCAACGCATAATAAGAAATTATGCAAACGGGAGATATCAAGCACTTTATAAATTATGCCTTCCAAAGAAACCTCTTCTACTTGGTGCTATATCTATCCTCACCGAGAAGTAAGCTTATCCAATCACCATCAAAGGATATACGTCCCTCATTTGAAGAAGTTGAACCTAAATCTGTTACACAATTAAAGGTTTGTCATGCAGATGGAGAAGAAGAAAGTTCTTGAATTGAATACACAAACAATGAAGTGAGTAAGAAAAAATGTTTACCTGTTGTGTTTTCACTGGCTGGTGTAAATTCAGTATGTCCAAGTAGAGAGGACTGAAACAGAGAGGATTCTGAATCGGTATCGGTTGCCGGTTTTTCACCTGATGATCCATAGACAACTGATTCCAACAATCCATCATAGAGTGATGATGGACAATCTGATGGTGTTTGATCTGTCAGAGGAGATTGGACCAAAGTGTTATCTGACTCATGATGTTCCGGCATTTGGTTAGATTGTTCTGCTCCCCAACCGCCAGGCTCTTCATGATATTGGAAAGAAGGGAGCTCCAACTTCTCCACCCCATGAATAAGAGGTTCAGGAGAAGAAGAATAAGTAGCATTGCCAAGCAAATGACTATCCGGTAACTGTTCTGAAATGTTCTCAACAAAAGGATAGTTCCAAAGCGGAGGGCTTTGCTCGTTCATAACATATCCACCCGGAAATGCGGTTTCTGGTTCTCTAGAACGTTTGCCGGTAGACATGTAAGGAGGTGTTGTTATCAAGTTATACATATTCGGCTGAAAGAAACACGGTCTTTGTCTCACAAAGACGCCAGTGGGAGGAACATTCCGAAGCATTGACTGGTAGTATGAGGAACATTGATTAAGCGGTAAATGCTGGAAATCCAAATCAGGGATCTCAACACAATCTGCCTCCAAAGAGTCTTGACTACGATGACCATCCAAAGAATCAGTGTTAAAACCAGATTGTGTCGCTGCATTCATCGCTTGCTCTCGAACTTCATCGGGGTAAACCGGTAAACCAAGTCGTTGCAATCTCTTAAGTCTTGTATTCCAGAAGTTCTTGATCTCATTATCCGTTCGTCCCGGCAGCTGAAAGAAAGAAAAAAGATTAGAACACGAAAAAATCTAGAAAATCAAGATTAGGGTTAAAGAAGGAAACGTGGGTTATACTTCTGAAGCCATTCGTGCCCATTTGTTTCCTAACGAAGCATGAAGTTCGATAACACGTTTCTCTTCTTTCTCGGTAAAAGCGCCTTTTTTCAAATCCGGTCTCAGATGATTCACCCAACGAAGGCGACAACTTTTACCACAACGAGAAAGGCCTGAATGTTTTTGAACAGCGTTCCAGTTTCCATCACCATGTTTATCAACATAAGCTATCAAAAGGTTGTCTTCTGCTTGTGTCCAAGGACCTTTAGTAAAAGATTTATCTATTGATGAAGTTTCATCGTCTGATCCTGAATCGTGGCGAACTTTCCCCATCTTGTGTTTGCTTCATCTGTAATTAAATAAGATGATAATTATATGTATATATAAGAGTTTCTCTCTGGCTAACAAAATTAACCTATATAATTCCGGAATTAAAAAAATATAGAAGATAAACTCCTTTCGTGCAACAGTTATTAGAATATAACTTATTAAAAATACTCGTAGAAACTGAGGTTTCTTATTCTAACATGGAATCAATAATCCCTAGTGATTGCAAGAAAAAGGAGAAATTAAATCGTACTCAATGATAAAAAGAAAAAAAAGAATTGGAGTTGAGAAGCTTAAAGGAAGAACAAACTATTTTTACATTAACAAGAGAGAAAAAAAGTAACTTAAAAAAAAAATCAAGATTTTTCTAAGAAGATCTGCAAAAATCATATTGAGAGAATGATAAACACTATAATCAAAAAGAGATTTAGGAGGAGATCTAAACACATATTTGTGATTGATCTTTCTGTATCTCTTTTTTAGCATTTAAATTTTCTCTAAAAAAAAGTGTATATTTTAGCGTTTTACAGGCACTAGAGTTTTCTTGGCATTCAAAGAAACAAGCAAACAAAGAAATTATTAATTAATAATTCTCTCATGTGGCTTTATTTATGATTATTCTTACGTTTTAACTACTTGAGCATGTTTAATTAATAAGGAAATAAATAAAACTTGTTAAACTCCAAAACAAATCCTATTAGTCAAATTTTGTGACTTGACCAATGAAAACACTCGGTTTTTGAGTTCTTATTAGAACTAAACGTTTTCAAAGCCCACTAACGTTAATAGATGATCATTTTGAGTTCTTTTCAACAGATTAGTTATAAATAAAATACAGATTTATCAATATATACATACTCCTCTTCAGTTATACGCTAGACGGGCGGCGGACTATCGTATAGCGCCTACGTGTATATGCGAACGTAGGGTCTAAGCAGTGGGTATTTTTGTAAGAAAATAATATATAGGTATAAATATTTAGAGTATACCTAAACTTATTTAGTAGAAAATATTATATATTAATACTAACTTATTATTAACTAATAGAAAAATAGAATTTATGACTAAAAATGTATTTTAAATTAATATTTACTGAAGAGGAGTATGTATATATTGATAAATCTGTATTTTATTTATAACTAATCCGTTGAAAAGAACACTAAGTATAAACTTTTCTCCTCTACGCTAAAATATGACTGTATCTATCAATCGAACAAGTTGACATATGACTTTTTCTGAGAGTTAGAAACCTAAAGTATAAACTTTTCTCTTCTACGCTAAAAATTAAAAAAAAAAAAAAAAAATCTGACTGAGTACATATATAAACATATCGAGCTGATTAATTTTGCAAGAATAATACATATATTTACAAGATTAGATTATCCTTAATATGTTAGTCCAAATTAATTTAGTTAAATCAGATAAAATTAGTAAATTGTTCAATTTATCTTTAAAGATTCCTAATCTATATCAATGTTAAGAGAATAAGAACTTACATAGGAAATGATTATAGACGTCTTCGAACATCAATTAATTCACCTAAAATCAACCACTGATAACAAAAAAAAAATGTTTAGTAAAAATGATTTGAAAGGTTTAGACGAAAGATATCCGAATCTGGAAATAGTTTTGCCAAAACCGGTTTAAAATTGACTTTAAAGTCCCAAATTGTAGGTTGTTTAGAAACGACACGTGAACAATATAAAAACGATTTTCACTAGCTTGTTAGAACTTGACTGGTTTAAATACAGCGGTTGCGGTTACGGTTGTAAAAGTTTGCGGAAGTGAGCGGTTGCGGTTTCAAGCGTTAGTTAGCGTTTTGATCGACTGGTTTATCGGTTAAAAACGTTTGCGTTTGCGCGAGATTTGCGACTGGTTGATTAGCGGGTACGATAGCGGTTAAACCAAAATTTATCAAAATAAATATAATATATAATTGTGAAAAGTATAAAAACAACAAAAACTATATTTATGAAAAAGTATAAACTTTTAAAACTTGATAAATAATTAAAAACCATAAATAATTATTCAAATATTAAACACATAAATTTTATAGTGAAACACAAATAATTATTAATATTGGAAAATTAAAATTAAATAATGTTTACTTTTTTAGAATTAACATGAATATATACAAGATTTGATAATATATATTTCAATTTGTTGAATTTGTTTTTCTAGTTTTTTTTTTTTAACCGCCCGCAACGGTACGCTTGCGGGAAGAAGTTTTTGAAATCCAATGATTTCAAGCGGTTCGAAGCGGTTACTACGATTGGTACTAACAGCTAACAACCGTCAGGCGGGTGCTAGCGGAGCGGAAGAACCAATCAAGCCCTTCAGTAAATACCAGTCCAAAACCAATCTCAAAACGTCAAGAACAGGTTTATAAAAATCCAGATTTTTAACTATGAAACGTTAGGATCCGAAAATTTACCGAGCCAATTCCGAGCGATCAACGGCGTTGTATTTGTATGATCGAGAAGATTCTCAAGTTATAGATCAACCCATAAATCTCCCTATAAATAAACAAACAAGTAAAAACGTTAGAGCTCACTTTCATGTAAAATAAAAAATAATAAAAACTGAAGAAGGAAAACGATGAAGCTTACCTAATCGGTGATATAGAGCTAATAACAGAGGAGAACGTCAAAGCCTAAACAAGCAAAAAATCAGATCATGAGTTACCGGAAAAGTTACAAAAATTCTGAAGAGGAGCAAAAAAAAAAAGGTTTAGAAAAACTCACCAAAAATCTCAAAATTTGATTGAGAATTAGCGAATGAGTATTTTAGGGCTATATACGATATATTAGGGTTGAAAATATCGAAAAAATGTGCTGATCAAAAACGATCCCTACAATATCGGAAGAGATGAACTCAAGCTTCTCAGGTTTTTCTCGTTTTTACACTTTAGTCCCTAGATTTATAATTTATTTATACATTCTCTATTAACTTCTAAATTGATCAATTTAACCATGGCAATAGATCAATGAACATTTTTTTCTTCATTACCAAGAAACAATATTTAACAGGTCCTTAAAATAACTGAAGGCCATCTTGTATTGTTTTATCAAGAGACCGATTCAATTTGGGTTTTGAGAATACAATCGCCAAGAGAATAACAATGCCGATTTCCGAAAACTAAAACGGATCCTTCTAACTAATAAGTAAGCATATTGAAGGACCTAACTCCACTCATCTCCTTGCTTTGAATATTGTTTTCTTGTAGTACTTAAGTTCCTTTATGCTTTCTCTTATATCATCCATGGCTCTGTGGTTGTTTTTCTTTGCAGGAGCTCTCTTTTTCTCTGTATTCACCCCCACAAACATATCCAACTTAGCTTATTATGTATTTTTCTCATAAATGACATGCACTTTTATAGTATTTATCGTTACCTATGGGGAACCATCGGGAGCATAGAGCCTTGACGCTACTGACATCGACAAGAATATGAGGGAAAAGGGCAGCTAATTCTGGCATGTACTTCTGTAAAAATACACAGATTGGTTATGATCAAGATGCAACTGTTTAGCTTTATATACAGAGAGTGAAAATACCTTTAAGAAAAGGAAATCAACATAGACTGAGTTTCCAGCTAGAAGTGGATTTTCAGAACCAACATGCTTCTTTACAAATTCAATGACCTGCAGAGTAACACACAATATAACATTTAGCAATCACCAAATTTACAAAAAAGATCAAATGTTGGGTCTCGATATTTAAATATCACATGTATCTTTACCTTTTGCTCAGCATCCCTTTCACTTATCGTACTAAGGCGCACTTTCTTCGTCAACCCTAAAGATATTGTCCAGATATCATATAGATCAAATCCATGGGAAACACAGAAATTCTAGTACAACAAATATCAGGAGAAAAACTTACCACTATCTCCATGATGAGTTTGACACCATTCACCCATTTTATCCAAACAGTCTTTCGTTTGATGTACAACCAAATCTGGACCCTGACAACAGAGAAACTAACTCAATAACAAATCCGAATAAGGCAGGTATAGTGATGGCGGAGCAAGTGTTTCATCTAAAAGTGGGTGAGAAGTCCCCTGAAAACAGTGTTATATCCACAACTTTGAATATTGTGTAGTTCCACATTCTTACAAGAACTTTCTGATCTCTTTTTGCCATCTGATCATAATGATTTTGAGACAACACGATATTCCATTGGTCAAAATTTATCCTTCTCTTAGAAAGTTTCTAGACATTATAGCTTATTGACTATGAAACTACCACTTTTCTTGATTGTAAGAAAGTTTCAACAAGTTTAGCAAGCTTCGGCAGAATATAAAGTATAGTAAACATTTATACAAATATTCTATTTATGAAGGTAGTAAGCAAGAGAAGAATTTACCTCCACTGCGTTGGTTAAATTTCCATCAGTAATTATACAAGCAATCTCCAATATCCTGTCAACTTCAACATTTAGACCTACACAATATAGTAAGAATAAGAACATGGATTATCTAAAAAAACTTTCAGGACCAAGATCCTTTTACTGTGTTCAACAGTTAAGTACATGTGTAAAGTAATAAAACCAATCAGGACTACCTTCAAAGGAACAAATATCATATCATTGTTATGACACAAATCAAATCAGATCCTTTTGCAACTAAAGCATAAAGTTGGCTCATTGAGAAACACTAAACTAATCTACCAACAATCCAATCTAAAAGTTTGTAATTAGCAGTGAAAGGCACGATTTTTGTAGGTCATCATGAACATACCAGTCATTTCCAAGTCAATCCAAACAAGTGGTTGCTTGTAATCTCCATCCTCAAGTGACCCATTTACTCTTTCTTCTTGTTTCCCTATAAATTTCACAATAATCGATCTCAAGATAACAAATTTTGTAGCTACAAGAGACAGTGCCATAAGCAAAAACCTAAACTCAAAGGTCTATACTTTAATTGACTCTTGAAATCTCTAAATCGATGATTAATTAGTCAATATATAAAAATCAATTGACTACCAAAAGTCTAAATTTGTTTTGTGTATAATCAAATCGAAAGAGGGAAACAGGAGATACCAGTGGAAGAAGAAGAAGAAGCCATTGGAGCATCTTCATCGGCGAAAGCTAGGAGAGAGAAAGCGTTGGAGAGTTTGTTCATTCTTTTTTTTTGAAGTAAAACTAATCGGAGGAAGGTAACCTAGAAGAGAAAAAATCGGTTTGTTTGACCGAAAAAAAAAAAAAAACTCTAAGTTAAACAAAACTACAAGATGAACTTTGAAATTAAAAACACTGCAAAACAAAACCTCCAATAATCCACTATTTTAAAGGGAAATATCACAAACTATGCTCAGACGAGTGTATAATTAGGTGAGTAAAATAGGTACTATTTCTACAGTAATAAATCTAAGAAGATTACTCTACTATCCTTCTTTATTTATTTGTTTTTCTTTTTTTTTTAATCTCTCATCTTCCTCTCCCTCTCTCTTCTTCGTCAACCATTTCCGGTGAAATTCCGGCTAAGAGTTCATCACATAAACTTGTCATAACAAAGTTAAAACAAAGTGGGTTTTTGATTCCGTGAAAGGCAAAGCCAAGGTGGAGCGGTTTTCGATTCCGGCGGAGTCTATGGTTTCATTTTCGGTTCAATTGTGGTGTCGTTCAAGTAACGATAGAAAAATGAAAGGTGACTTTGAAAGCTTAGGAACCGGCGAACTGTCAGTGATCATCTTTGGAAAAAATTGATGATTGAGAAAGTTTGGCAAGATTAGAAGAGTAGATCGGGAAATATGGTGAAAGGTGTCTCTGAAATTTGATGATTGGAAAAGTTTGGCAAGGTTTGTATCTCGTTAATATTTTATATAACATGTTTATAATTTTTGTATTGTGCTAAATGTTAATTTATCGACATACAATTTAATTTACCTGTGTTAAATAAATAAACAATCATGCAAATTAATACATAATGATTTGTTAGGTATCTCGTCACCATCCTAATTTTCAATATGTAATACTATTTAATATATTAACAGAATAATATTAATATTATTAGATATATTTAATATCTTAATCCGTTACAAGTATGTGTAGTGCGTTAGCAATATTGTTATCGCTATCATTATATGTGATATGTTTATAATATGTATATCATGTAATTAATTAAGATTTTTTTCAAAGAATATTAATTCACAATTCTAAAATTAATACTTTATATTTAACTTTGTATGATAAGATAACTCGTTTAACACGATAACTATGAATATAACACATATTATATAAACTTATCACGATAATATACCATTTAACATGTAAATAAAATAGTTATCAATACAAATAAAATAGTTATCCACACATATGAGCAGTGTTGTTATGTGGTTGATGAACATTATCCGGTGATGAACAGTATCTTAGACGTCGGAATGAACAGTATCGTGAATATATTGAAGTAGAAAACTATTTTCTTTAATCAATGGCATTTTTGTTATTAATCAAAAGTATAAGGAGATTTTTGATTTGCTTTTTCTTTCTCTTTCATAGTTACTTAATTTTTAAGTTATCATGGATAGATTTTTAATTTTCAAGTCTTCTATGCATATCAATTAATATAGCCCTTTTTAAAAAAGACTATATTAATTTATATGCTAAGAAGATGTAAATATTAAGAATATATTCATGGTTTTTATATTATTAGTTATCTCTCCTCAACTTCTGTAAGTTGGACAAAAATATCCCTGCGTATATAACAAATTAGTTAATAATATAATAAAATAGTTATCGTAGTTTCTTATTTGATTCTGAACAGATTGTCCATCAAATATCTGAGTAAGAATATATGATGAGTTAAATGATTATCTATTGGTTTAACACGATAACAAAATATATATCAATAAATTTATAAATATTCCGTGTTAAATCATATTGTATCGCGATAAGTTTATAATTGATATGATAAAGTTTATATTATCATAGATAATATTTATGGTAATATAGTTGATATATAGATAATATTTATTATTAACGTATATAACGATGTTAACATGATAACAATAAAAATAACATGTATTATTCTAGTTCTGATCACCGACGAGGCAAACCCAGAAAAAAAAACATAAATAGTTTTTTTGGCCGCCACTGTCAAATCTTCAATCATCACAGCTCCTCCGTCCCTATCTCCGTCTCAACTCACCAATCTATTTGATCTAACTTCACGACACTGTCTCTTTCTCCGACGTAGTTACCGCAACCGATATAATCATCATCACGATAGAATCATCACCAACACCATCATAACCATTAACAAGTACAATCATTTTTGCCACTTAGCCATTGCTCTTGCCATAAAACTTAGCCACATACAATCATCTTCATCGTCGTCGCCTCCGTGTCTTTCTCGACCACCGTTCACTTTTCATGAGATGTGTTATGAAGAGAGAGAAAAGAAGATGAGAAAGATGCAGAAGGATAATAAAGTAACTTCATCAGCTCTTTTACTATAGAAACAGTGATCAATTCTCCCACTTAATTTTTCAGTCTTCTGTGGTCAGATATTGCTATTACTCTTAAAAAAACCGGCGACATAAACTTAATTTACATCATTTACAATAAAAATATAATTAACTATAACTAATTTAACCAATTTAAAATTGTTTAATATAATCAGTCAAAAATATTAAATATATTTAATTTTTGTATATAAAACTAAAAATATCACCTAAAATAAAATAAAATAAAATCTCTCTAAAACATTGCTTAAAGTGATACAAAAGGAATATTAGTTTTTTTAATGGATTCGAAAACATAGTTATTTTGGTTTCAAAATACGACATTACAACTAAATTTGGAACCAAACAAACCAAGAACAACAATGAAATCAAACAAGCTAAAATCCATAACAAATCCGAGTTTACTTGCAAACACAAACGCAAAATTTTGTACTTTAAATTGATTTTACATACCAATAACCTAAAGCCTTGATCTAATTGCTTCAAATTCTCCAATTTCTTCTGAATCACAAACCCTAGTAATTGGGGAAATTTATTGTTCTGTCGTTTCTTAAACTTAATTTCCAGTAAATACATGCTCTATTGTTTTTAAGAGCTTTTTTTTTTTTTTTTTTTTCGTCTGAATAATTCATGAAATATAACCAAGGGAGAAATACAAAGTTGAGATACATGGTGAAATACTAACGCCGGCGGGACTCTAACCCCCGGAAAACTAAGCCGGCGGATACATGGAAACCCCCAGAGACAAAGGCCAAAAAAGGCAGACATAAAAGAAGGAAAACCTTAAAGTACAGGGAAATGCTAATATCTAAAACTCAAGCAACACAACTGCAAACTCTTCACGAAAAGAATCCGATAAACATTTCCATAGAACATTTTGGGCGCTGGAAAGTGGTTACAAACAGGAGCAACGAGAGGACCCATCATTAGAGCTAAACAACATCAATTTTGGTCGTGCTATTGTTTTTTTAAACCAAAACGACATGGTTTTGTATTTCGTTCAAACAAATTTAGGATGACATTTTTGTTACTGGTTTTTTTAAATGATCGAGGTTTGTTCAAACACATTTTTTCAGTGATCTTACGTTATTTTGTAACTTCGAAGTTTTTTTTGTTTTGTCAACAGCTTTTAAATTAGAGGTTATATTGCAATTTAGTATATTATATTTTATTTATAATTTAAGTTACAAAGCACTTTAATCACTTCTTTTTCAACATAAATTTATATGTCAAAGATATTAGATTCTTTCTATGAACCAACTAACCTATATAACAATTTTGACCTTGGAAACCTTGCCTCTAATGATGTTCATTGATGAGTCTCATTTATTTATCTCTTTTTAACCATTGTATTAATATTTATTTTGAGTCTTTTCTAGAGTCAAAATTTTTAGTGTCATTTAGTCCCTTTTCCAGTCTTGACATGTTTTGAGATGTTCTCGAGTAAAAGGAGAAATTTTGGATCTTTTTGGATGTTTGAAGATGCAAGATTGCGTATAAGCGTCAGAAGTTTGGCCTCCGATAAAAGACTTTCCACCGTTAGATCTTCCTCTTTATTCACACAAGCTGGATGAGGATGTTAGCTTTCATTTTCAAGTGGATTGAAGGAAATCTAATGGTGTAATCAAAAGGTATGGCTAATTTACTGAATATGTGTCATGCAAGCTCGTAGCTGAAGCAGGCTCTGGATGGAGTATCGATCAGCACAATTTGGTAATCGATCGGTATAGACATGATTTTGGAAAATTAAACTTAACCAGAACCTATTTCCTTCACTATATAAGCATAAGACTCGACTTTAGATATAAGCATGAGTTGCTTCATTCACTGCAGCACAGGAATCTGACTCAACCTTATATGGCTTTTAAATTAGATATTAGCAAAGCTTTTGATAAAGTTGAGTGGTGTTTTATTGCAGCAGTTATGAAGAAGCTTGGAATTTCTGAAAAATGGTGTGGTTGGATCATGCAATGCATTACTACCGTCTCTTATTCAATACTTGTCAATGGCTCCCCAGTTGGAAACATACTCCCTCAACGAGGCATTCGACAAGATGATCCAATCTCTCCTTATTTATACTTATTGTGCTCTGAAGGTCTTTCAGCCTTAATTCGCAGTAGTATTCAACAAGGCCGCTTACATGGATTTAAAGCAAGCAGGAATGGTCCTCCAATCTCTCATTTTCTTTTTGCAGATGACTCACTTCTTTTTTGCAAAGCAACAACTGATGAATGTACAACTCTTCTTTAGATTCTCAACAAATATGCTGAAGTTTCAGGTCAGCAAGTTAACTTTCAAAAATCTGCGGTCACTTTTGGTAAAGGTCTGACTTCTCAGCAAAAAAATGATCTCACTCATATCATGGGTGGTACAAAAATAAGTGGCTTTGGTAAATACCTTGGTTTGCCTGAATTCATTGGAAGGAATAAGTACAATACTTTCTCCTTCCTTCATCAGAGAATTTTACATAAGTTGCAAAGTTGGTATGCTCAATTCCTTTCTCCTGCAGGGAAAGAAGTCCTTATCAAAGCGGTAGCCACTGCCCTTCCTTCATATTGCATGTCATGCTTTATGCTCCCGATGAAGCTCCTCAAGCAAATTACCTCTGCAATCCGAAAATTCTGGTGGTCCAATGTCCACAGTCATAATAGAATATCGTGGATTGCTTGGAACAAAATCAATGATACCAAGCAGATGGGCGGGCTGGGAATCAGGGATTTAAAGGACTTTAATGTTGCTATGGTTGCCAAGCAAAGCTGGAGACTTCTCCAACATCCTCAATCTCTTGTAGCCAGACTCTACAAAGCAAAATATTATCCTAAATCGAGTCTTCTACAAGCTGGAATCAAATGGCAATCTAGTCATGCATGGAGAAGTATATTACAAGGTAACAATCTTATATCGAATGGTCTTAAATGGGTTGTTGGAAATGGCCAGAATATTAATATATGGCATGACAAATGGTTGCCATCTTCCCCTCCTCGTGCAGCCAAATGTCATCCCTCTGCTGCCAAATCCTTACAAAATGTTAAAGATCTTATACTTCCAGGAACCTCTACATGGAATGATGAACTGATTGACAAGGTTATTGATCCTGGTGATAAACCTCTGATAAAGCTGGTTCGACCATCGATGACAGGAGCTTCCGATACCATCTCATGGATGTTCACCAAAGATGGTAAATACTCTCTTAAATCTGGTTATTATTGCTTGAGAAAGCAACGTTCAGCTTCTGACTCAACTATGCTCAATCATCACTCTCATATGCCTTTCAAAGATATTTGGAATGTGGATGTTCCACCAAAAGTAAAACATTTCTGGTGGCGTACCTTACATAATGCCCTGCCTGTTGCAGATAATTTGAGAAAAAGAAGAATGAGAGTGGATAGCATCTGTCAACTATGCGGAGACCATGATGAAACGGTCAATCATTTGCTGTTTCAGTGCAAACTTACTAAGGAAATCTGGGATCTAGCTCCACTTACATCTCCAACAGGTGATTTCCTTGCAAATCACACTCTTTCTGACAATTTGCAGATGCTATTGAACCTTAACAGAAATAGCACCAATGCGTTAAAACTATTCTTTCTTGTTGGTTGGAGAATATGGAAAATGAGAAATGCTCTAATCTTCGAAAATCGAAGGATATCTATCCCGGATGTCATCAGCAAAGCGTTGATTGATCTCTCTATTTGGAATGATATCTCTAAAGCACACCAGTGTATGCAGGACAGTCCTTCTAAAAGCCTCAATGCCACAAGAGATATCTCTCATACTATGGAGGATGCGATTAGTAAATCTCAAGAATATTGATGTTTTGTTGATGGCTCCTGGATTTCTCCAACACACTATGTTGGCATTGGTTGGGCACTCTTTAACAAGCGTTCCAAGCTCCTCATTAAAGGTTCAGCGGGCATCTCACCAACACCTTCTTCGTTGGAAGCTGAAGCAGAAGCTTTAAGAATGGTTGTTCTTCAAGTTAGAAATATGGGCTATTCTAATGTCACTTTTGTTGGAGACAATGCAGATCTTTATAAAGCGTTAGAGGAGAAGCTAGCTGCGCATCCATCGCAAGGATGGGATCATACTATAATCTCTACGTATCTAAGAGATATTTTGCAGATAACTCAAGACCGGAAAACCTTTAACTTTATGAAGATCTCAAGGAATGCAAATCATGTAGCAGATATTTTGGCGAAGACTGCAAGACTGAATCAATCATGTTATGTAATATCCTGGAACAATGTACTTTGACATTATATCAATGAAAGGCTAAGTTGACGACAAAAAAAAAAAAAAGATATAATTCTAGTCTCTCTACTCAATTATAAACATTGTTCTCATATTTGTAACATTTTGGGGAGAAGATCTCTATTCCTATTCACTTGGAGAAGAATTCTAAACATATTCTATTTCAATTTGCAATTCAATATGTTTTCTTCATCTTTGATCTGTTTGTGGTCTATGTTTATTGTTGAATAGTCTTCCAATTGGGGTTCAAGATTTTTATAAGGAGATTTCATGATTGATTGATCGTTAGGTTGTTAGATTTGGATTGATTCTTCATCTATGGTTGGTCTTATTGTACTTGTTTACTACAAATTGATCACCTAGATTTTGATTTTAAAATTTATTCATCGGGACACTAAAATTGTTGTTGACTTGAAAGAACATAGAGTGAGCAAAGTGTTCTTACCCAACCAGAATTGAATTTAATGCACTTTATGAACAAATCAAACTCGACGTTAATACTTGCTTGTTTTCTTAGATTCAAACAAGAGTTTAGTGTCTAGGAAATTCATTATTGCTTGTTTTGTAAGCTGAACATTTTGTCTTAACCCAACAGGATAATAATGGGCTTAAAAGTTAAATGAAATTTCTTTGATCTCTTGTTTAGTTACCAAAACAGAACAACAGATAATCAACGATGTGAGAGCAGGTTGGTTATACATTCGTGTTTTGGGATAAATATGGGAATCATCACATCCAGATTTGAACCTTTACTTGTCTTCAAGCAAGAACAATTAAAAATCCAAATACAAAGAAATCGTTTAAAGAGCAGGAACATACTTACTCTTGGGAAGGGACTATCTTACTGATGGAGAGCCATAAGAAGAGTATCCCTTTGAAACTAGTATGATTGAACTCAGCTTTTTAGGAAAGTCCATTGGGTATAAAAACTTGTTGTTAAAAAAAAAAAAAAAAAAAAAAAAAAAAAAAAAAAAAAAAAAAAAACTTGTTGTTAACAGATTTGAACCCTAGTGTTTTAGTGCAATTGCACAGCAAGCGAAATTGTATAATTGGGTATCAAATCCACAAGGACCAACCAACTACACTATGAATTATGATGGTTATTAAGCAAAAATGCAAAAGAAATTTATTGAAAACAGTGTAAATGAAAATTAAATTCAATTAAAGTGAAATATTGGACGATGAGAACTCTTTCAGGCCGAATTCATGGAGAACCTAGATTGATATTTGTTCAAGGGGTTTGGGCCAAATTTAGATTTTTATATTTTGATAAGCCTTTGGGTTTGGGTTTGCCTAATTTCTTTGTTAAATATTTAGCGTTTTGCGAGTGATTGATTGGGGAGAGTTGAATTTTGTTGATTGGACTGAACTTGAACCTATAAGCTTATAGGCAATGTTGTTGGCTTGTTGCCATTGATTTATAAGTTAATAACTCTTGCAATTTCTTTCATTTCAAGACTTCTTTAAGTGTTTCTAAAAAGCTTGATGACCTGAATTTAAAACCCACTTGTAAAATCTAAACTGTTTGTTCATCAGTTTCATTAGGAATAGAAATTACATCATTTTCTCAAATTATATTCAAATGATGTAAATCATATTTCTTCCATCAAAATTCCACTAATTCTATTATAATACCACTAATTGTGTGTTACTATTTATATCATGAAAATTATGTGAATATATATATATATATGTATCTATGCATTTTCTAAAATAATGACTTTTGTTTGTACTACACAAAGTTTGACAAGTCAAAACGTGAGTACAACCACAAAAACATTTAAGAGAGAGACCACAAGATGTAACAACGAACATGACAATAAATACGAAACCATTTTCTCTAAATTTTGTCCCAAACAAAAAAGTCTCAGAAACTTATCATTAGCACAATGGATCATGGTAACATGCATAACATGCCACCACCATCACCACCACCACCATCATCATCATCATCATCATCATCATCGATGGCGAATCATACCAATTCAGACATGATCGTGATGCATATGACCTTCTTCTGGGGCAAGAACACGGAGATTCTCTTCTCCGGCTGGCCCGGGACAAGTTCCCGCATGTACGCTCTATGTCTCATCGTTGTCTTCCTCCTCGCTGTAATCACCGAGTGGCTAGCCTATTCATCGATCCTTCGTGGCCGTGGATCCACCAGCCGCGCCGCAGGGCTCGCTCAGACCGCCGTGTACACACTCAAGACAGGCCTCGCGTATCTCGTGATGCTCGCGGTTATGTCCTTTAACGGCGGTGTTTTCATTGTCGCTATCGCAGGATTCGCCGTTGGTTTCATGTTCTTTGGAAGTACTGCTTTCAAGAACCCCTCTGATGACGAGAAACCCTTCGAAGTTCTCTAGCCGTCGTCAGGCTGCGTTTGCCGAACCAGAACAACTATGATCACTTTTTATTTTACTTGGAAAGAACATTTCGTTTGTGTGTATTTTGCGTTGCTTTGAATTTTGATAATTTGTGACTAGAATTTGGAATTTAATGAAGAATATGGCCATTTTTGCATTTTTATTGTAGATGATAGTCATGTAGATATATGATAAATTTTCAACCACAAATGAAATAACAAAGGCTGTCCATCACTCAATAAGTTCTCTGCGAGATAAGGTCAACTTTTATTGATCAACAAAACACATATATGGTTGTACCCAAAACAATTATAAGAAAATTAAAGAAAAACACGTATATGGAGACAAGAAGAGCTAAAATATTATTGAACTTCGTTGTATGATATATCTAATCTATAGACTATAGATATCTAAGACAAACTTCATTCATATATGATATTCACCCTTTTTGCTTCGTAGAAAATAAATCCATAACAATTTAAATTCATGTGTTTATTAGTAACACAAAATATGAAACTTATAGTTCCAAGCTTTCTCTATTTGACAAGGCCGCCTTACTATTAAAAAAGTTACAAAAGATGACAAATACACCATCGTTGATGAAATAATTAATAAATAAATGTATCTTAAGCTTAACAATAAATAAATATACTAGTAAGAACAAGATTTAAGATTATCTGAGTTACAATCTGAGTTCGAATATATAAATCTATAATAAATAAACTGAGCTGAGCTGACTCAAGAAATATATGAACTCATTGAAAAAGCAGAGATAGATAAGGCACACGAGAATTAACGAGGTTCGGCAACGTGCCTACGTCCTCAAAACAATAACTAGATTCACTTAGACAATCTTTACAACAAGACCTTGCCTAACTGGAATTACACGACACTAAGAACCTCTTAGTTCGACACCAAACAATATCTAGTTACACCCAGTATTAGAACAACTAAACCCGTGTTCCAGCAAGCAGCTCGACTTGCCTACAAAAGCACCGAAACAAAGCAATTCGTTTTTCTCTCTCTATTTTCGGCTAGCCCTAGCAGCACACATCTCCCTAGTATATATACCCATATACCTATGAGATATGTCACCCTAGATTTTATCCCGATACAAAAGGAAAATATCATCTTCTAAATAAAAGAAACAAATCTTCAATAATATTCTTCTCCAAGAATATCTTCAGATGCACGTTTCTTCTGATTTGATCTCTCTAAATATCTTTCTGATATTTATCTTCAACTCCACGAACCACGTCAGCACCAACCGAGCAATCCCAAACTTGTCCGTTTCTTGTTTCAGCAATATCTGCACTTTCATTCTCCCTTTTTTAACTGAGTTTTACAACTCAAGCTCACCATAATTATCACGCATCCCCAGCAAGACTTCATGATATACAAACTCCCCCTTAATCATATATCACTGTGATAATTAACTCTCCATGGATCTTCTACTCTCCATGGATCTTCTACATTCTCCCCCTGCTTGAGTGATAAAACTTTGTTAAAAAAACATGTGCATAACCATACTTGCTGGAATATTCTCCTCGATCAGAATCGTCTTCCACTTGGATCTCTCCAATAACTCTCATTTCTAAATCTGAACTTTTTCTTCGCAAACTTTGCTTGATCATTTGACATGTGCTTCAAACACCTACATGTGCAGCACATCATCTTCCTTGGAGTATTGGTTGATGACTTATGAGACACATCACCATACAAATCCATCTTCTTAATCCAAACCTTTTGAAATCTCCTTGAATCTTGAACAACCTTCTTTTGCTTTAATGCACATCTAATCTTGTCAAGGAATTTATAGCAGTAGGCCTTGATATGCCCTTTCTTTCCACAATAAAAGCATCCTGAAGTAAAAAATACTTTTTGGTGATTCTTCTGGGTTTCTGTTCCAACAGAATTCAGCTTGTTCCAGCTAGCAACACATGTTCTTAAATTTGATGAACCTTTGTTGCATCCACGAAGATAACTCATCTTCTTCTCATCAGAAATACATGGACTGGTACTTTTGACTTGTACATTATGCTCATCCATCGGAGTTGTGATGAGACTTTTTCTTGTCGTCTCCAACAGGTTTTCCCTTGTTCCAGCAGATTTCGACAGATTCTCTTGAACAAAAACAGTCTTTGAATCGGATGTACCTCCTTGATAACCAAGACCAAATCTTTTTTTCTCTGTTCTTCCCATGCTTAGTATTTGATCTAGGTTCTTTGTTCCATTATTCAACATCCTCAAATACTTTTCATTCTGCATGAGTTCATCCTTCAACCGTTTGGATTTTTCTTTTTCTGCTGCAAGTTCCTCCTTCACTTTTAGCATATGAACAAATTCATGATCTTCATTCTTCAAAGCACAATAACACTTTTGATTTTCAGCAAGCTTGATTTTCAATTTCTCTGATTCTTCTTTCTCAAAAGTTAGCTCTTTCTCGATATTCTTCATCTTACTTTCCATCAACATCTTATCATCGATTAGTACCATGTAGTCTTTACTTTTCTTAACCCAACTCTCATAAAGACTTTTGAATTCAGCTTGAAGATCCACCTCTTGATCGCTTTCTGAATCGCTGCTTGTGTTGGAGTATTCACTACTTGTTTTAGCAGTTGAAATAGAATCAGATTTTTCGCTTCCTTCTTTGTGCTCCACGAATGAAGGTAATGCCACGAAGTTGGCTAACTCCTCTTCATCATCTGTTTCACTCTCACTAGAGTCTTCATAGATATTCCTTTTTATCTTCACACCGTCGACACACTCAGATTTTGTATGTCCATAACCGTTACATCCTAAGCAACGAACCTTTTCTTCTTCTTGATACTCGGACATGCAGACTTGATGTGTCCAAATCCTCTACATTCATGGCACTGTATACCACGTCTTCCTTCTCCCACATTTTTGTATGTGCCATGATCATTTTCCAAAGAGTTCTTACCCCTTTTTCCAACGTCTTTAAGAAGTTTCCCAAACATCTTCACAAGTGAGCTCATAGATTCTTCTAAATTTTGTATTCTCAACTTGTCATCATTCTCATATAGAGTTGGTCTATTGACATTATTTGAAATGACATCCTTTTGGTCCATCTCATACGCTTGTAGTCTCCCAACTATTTCATCAAATGGGGTCTCATCCGTATTAAAAGCAGTTTCCATAGCCGCCTTTTGTGCCTCGAATCTCTTAGGCAAACATCGCAGCAACTTCTTGACAAGCTTCTTGTCTTTGTACGTCTTCCCAATCACATGTGCTTCATTAGCAATCGCACACAGCTTAGCACTAAAATCTGTAACAGATTGTCAAACTTCTTTCAAATAGCACTATCTCATGGTAACAGATTGTAGAAGTAACTGTCTTAGTGGCTGAAAAAGCCAAGGTGCAGTTGAAAAAGATCTTTAAGAACTTCACTAACCTTTGCACATCATCCCAACCTTTTGAAGTAGGAGGTCCAACCCTCTTCTTTGCACCCTCTGGTCCACTCTCTCCATTCTCTTCTTCTGATTCCTGGAAGTAGTCATTATAGAGCTTGTCTTCTGCGAGTAACTTCTCAAATGCAACTCTAAATTTCAAAGCATTTGTTAGCATGAGATATGTGCTGTTCCACCTTGTCACACAGTCTAAAGACAAGCTTCCTCTACCACACTTACCTGTCTCAACCCTCAACTTAAATGATTTCAACCTATCACCTGATGATCTTACATACCTAATTTCATTCCTAATGGCTACAATGCTTTCATTTACCTTTGCTAGACCATCTCTGACTATCAAGTTCAGTATATGTGCACAGCAACGCATATGGATTAATGAACCGTCTCTAACTAATGCATTAGGCCCCATCGACCTACAAGCATCTGTGAACAACCTAATTGCTTTGTCATTCCCTTTAGCATTATCTACTGTGATAGTGAATACCTTTTTAATTCCCCATTCCTCTAGACATGCTCTAAGATGATCAGCAATGGTGTCTCCTTTATGATCTGTCACAGGCTTGAACCAGATAATCCTTTTCTGCAAATCCCAGCCCCTATCAATCCAATGAGCAGTGATCACCATGTAGCTTCAAGCAGTTGTAGGAGCAACCCAAATATCAGTCGTCAGAGACACTCTATGCTGTTCACAGCTAAACAGACTCTTCAATTTAGTTGTTTCACTAAGAAACATCTTAAAGACGTCTTCAGTTGCTGTCCTCCTACAGTGAACCGTGTACAATGGAAGCATATTTGCACAGAATCTCCTAAATCCTTCAGACTCCACAAATGCAAATGGTAACTCACACAAAACAAGCAACTCATTCACTGACCTCCTAAAAAGTGCTTTATCATAAGGAACTGTAGTGATTGCACCCCTCATATCACCAGCCAACACCTTCTGAGTACCAAGATCTTGATGTGCCTTGAAAAACTTGCATCTTAGCAGATGACTCTTCATGGAACTTGTCCCATGTAACTTAGTATCACAGCCAATCTGTTGGCAACAATACCGACACCTAGCTACACCTACAAGATCTTCCTTTTCAATATAATGCTGCCAAACTTCAGCTCTATGCGCTTGCTTTTTCTTTGCTTTCTTCGGCTTTGGAACATCATTGCTTGATCGCTCTGTCGTGGGTCTTCTTCTCCTTCCCGCAGAAGATTCTGTAGTACCATCAGCTTCCTCACTCAAAAAAGCTTCGTTGTTGTCTTCAGTTTCCGACATCTACACAGAAGAGAATAAGAGAATTAAGGTTTGAGTCTTTGAAAGTTTGAATTGAAACAAGCAGAATACCTAGACAGACACAACCGGAAATGATAAATTGAGCAATAACATCGATTCGTAAAAGCCCCACACCCAAAGACTGAAACCCTAAATCCCAAATCGAAATCGACACTTAAACAGAGAGAGTAGAGGATTTCGAACTCACCTTATACCAAATCGGAGGACGAACAAGGAAGAATCACTGATAATCAGACGAGGAAGACAAGATTCAGTCGTCGCCGACGCAAATCGAGAGTGAGGCTCGAGGAAGTGAAAGAGATGAAATGAGATTAGGGTTAAATTTTTTTGGCTTTTATTGTTAGGTTTAATTTTCGGTATTCGTCGGTAACCGATCGGAATACCCGAACCGAACCGACCGAATAGAAAACCGAAGTCCTAATTTCATCTATTCCGATCGGTATATCTCCCATACCCGAAGCTTTGCCGAATTTCGTTTATTCGGTTCGGTCGGGTCGGTTAATTCGGGTCGGGTATTTATCCCAGGCCTAAAAGAGACATTTGAAGTCTATGAATATTATTTAGGACAAAAAATAAATACCCCCAAATCCATGATTACTTTTGGCTCGAGAGTTTTTGGATACAAACAAGATGCTTTAAAAACGATCTTGGCTATACCAAATCATGGAGGTGGTGGCAAATATTTAGGACTCCCTAAGCAGTTTGGCCGTAAAAAGAGAGAAATGTTTGACAACATAATTGAGAGGGTTAAGAGAAGAACAACAAGTTGGAGTGCAAAATTTCTTTCACCAGCCGGAAAGGAAATTTTGATAAAGTCAGTGGCACTAGCTATGCCGGTTTACTCGTTATCTTGTTTCAACTTACCGCTAGGTGTCACCTCTGAAATTGAATCCATACTTATGCGATTCTGGTGGGAAAAAACGGTACAACATAAAGGCATACAATGGGTAGCTTGGGAGAGACTCCAGCTTTCGAAAAAAGAAGGAGGATTAGGTTTCCGTGATCTTGCTAAATGCAATGATGCTCTTTTGGCCAAGCAGGCGTGGCGGATTATTCGTTATGCCTTATGAAGGCTCGCTATTTTAAAGACGAATCAATCATGGATGAAAAACCAAAAAAGTATCAATCATATGGTTGGTCGTCGATTTTAAAAGGGCTGGAGGTTATTAAAAAAGGTAACCGTTATCAAGTAGGGGATAGAAAATTTATAAACATCATGAAAACAAACTTGGCTCCAACTCATCCACCTCGTCCTTTAAATCTTGTTGCTCCAAATCCGGATCTCTATTTTTGTGATTTCATTTCTAACAATGGCCCATACCGTCAATGGAAGAATTCCAAGGTTGAAAGCATGGATATTGAAGATCGTCACGTACTTCATTTACCGCGACTGATTACCCCGGACAAGATCATTTGGCATTACCACAAATCTGGAGAATACACGGTGCGTTCGGGATATTGGCTCCTGACCCACGATCCGACTCAAGTTCAACCGAACCCGATACCTCTTCATGGCTCGATGTCTATGAAAAATATCATTTGGAAATTACCAATAATCCCAAAAATTAAACAATTCCTTTAGCGGGTTCTTTCATGAGTCCTGGGTACTATGACTCGATTAAACACGAGAGGTATGAATTTAGACTCTCTTTGTCAACAGTGCGGCAGGTCAGACGAAACAATCAATCATTGTCTATTTACATGTCTTTTTGCTATTTTATCTTGGAAACTATCAAATATTCCGATATCACCTTCGCATCTCTCGTCAGCAAATGCTGAAGATAATCTTTCAAATATTTTGCGTCTCAAACAAGTGTAACACCCCGGTTTCAAGAATATGATGGTGCATGCGAAGAAGTTTTTAAAAAATAATTTGGCCACATATGTCACCAAAGTGCACTTATCTTTTCGGTCAAACGTCCTGAGAGAACTCCACAGTTAAGCATGCTTGGGCTGGACTAGTTTCAGGATGGGTGACCTTCCGGGAAGCGATGTCGGAACTGTGTGAGTGAGGACAAAACACAGGGAAATATCATTTGGTGATTTGTAAGGTCGGTAAACAAGTCTTTAAAACCTCCCGAACGTAGCGGACCGGCCGTCGGAAGATGGTAGGTCCACTGACCGAGAGAGGACGTGGAGCCCATTTAGAGAGAAGGCGGTCGAGCGTTACAACTGGTATCAGAGCCGAACCCAAACAAGTGTGGAGTCAAGAGGGCTCACACCGTAGGGGGTGACGGTCTTGGTGCGCAACGAGGACGTTGCGATATGTTAGTGGGGGTGAATTGTAACACCCCGGTTTCAGGAATATGGTGGTGCATGTGAAGATGTTTAAAAGAATTGATTTGACCACCTATGTCACCAAAGTGCACTTATCTTTTCGGTCAAACGTCCTGAGAGAACTCCACAGTTAAGCATGCTTGGGCTGGACTAGTTTCAGGATGGGTGACCTTCCGGGAAGCGATGTCGGAACTGTGTGAGTGAGGACAAAACACAGAGAAATATCATTTGGTGATTTGTAAGGTCGGTAAACAAGTCTTTAAAACCTCCCGAACGTAGCGGACCGGCCGTCGGAAGATGGTAGGTCCACTGACCGAGAGAGGACGTGGAGCCCATTTAGAGAGAAGGCGGTCGAGCGTTACAACTGGTATCAGAGCCGAACCCAAACAAGTGTGGAGTCAAGAGGGCTCACACCGTAGGGGGTGACGGTCTTGGTGCGCAACGAGGACGTTGCGATATGTTAGTGGGGGTGAATTGTAACACCCCGGTTTCAGGAATATGGTGGTGCATGTGAAGATGTTTAAAAGAATTGATTTGACCACCTATGTCACCAAAGTGCACTTATCTTTTCGGTCAAACGTCCTGAGAGAACTCCACAGTGAAGCGTGCTTGGGCTGGAGTAGTTTCAGGATGGGTGACCTTCCGGGAAGTGATTGTCGGAACTGTGTGAGTGAGGACAAAACACAGAGAAAGATCATGTGGTGATTTGTAGGATCGGTAAACAAGTCTTTAAAGCCTCCCGGACGTAGCAGACAAGTCCATCTACAGTTACTTTGAGAGCAAAAGCAGATGTAAAGGAATGGATTAAAACGTATGAAAATAGAACTCCCTTTACCAATAGTTCGAACTCAACGACATAAACTGTTTCATCTTGGACCAAACCTCCATTCGAGTACGTTAAATGCAATTTTGATGCTAAATTTGATGCAAACACTAATCAAACAAATGGAGGCTGGATTATTTGAAACCATGAAGGAAAAACAAAGGCATGGGGATCATCACGTTTGAATGCAACAGGATCACCATTGGAAGCAGAAACACAAGCGTTACTCTCCTCGATGCAACAAACATGGATTCGTGGATTCACTAAGGTGTACTTGAAGGGGATTGCAAGATTTTGATCGACAGCATCAACAATGGTTTATTGGATGCATCTATCTGTGGAATATGTGAAGATATCAAGTTTTGGGCGTCTAAGTTTAAAGATCTTTTCTTTGTTTATATAAGGAAAAAAGATTGCTGGCTACACGAAGTATCCGCGAAGACATGGTCACACATGCAAAGTTTAATAATGGATCATAAACTACATGAACTATATGTATCGCATGCCCACATATACGAACTATATGTAGTCATGTCGCCAACATCACGAACATTTTTTTCCGGTACACATTATAATTAGTTAGTTTCAATAATTTCAAAACTAAACTAAAAATAAAACAAAAACCAATTAGGTAAAATAATTGTAAATATGAAATTTTCTATACTCTCTAGTCTAAAGTTTTTTTATAATATGTTGTTAATTTTTTTTTGTATTATTAAAAGAATTTTTCGTAATAATTTTAGATACAAAAATTAACAACATATTATACAAAAAACTTTAGACTAGAGAGTATAGAAAATTTCATATTTACAATTATTTTACCTAATTGGTTTTTATTTTATTTTTAGTTTAGTTTTGAAATTATCAAAACTAACTAATTATAAAAATCAATGCATTGAATATATATACAAAATATTTTTTTATATTGAATATTGTATATATTTTTTAATTATATAATATTATAAATGATTTAATAACATAATTTTCTAAATATTAAAAAACTAAAATTTTTTTTTTTTTTTGAATATTTATGTTGGTCAATGCCCAGGCGAAAAATGTATCGGAAAAAAATGTTTGTGATGTTGGCAACATGACTACATATAGTTCGTATATGTGGGCATGCGATACATATAGTTTGTATAGTTAGAGATACATTTTTAAACTTTGCATGTGTGGCTATGTCTTCGCGGATACTTCGTGTAGCCAGCCATCTTTTTTCCTTTATATAAACCAATCTTGTAATCAAGTAGCTCATAGTCTTGCTCAACTTAGATGCAATAATTCTAGTTTTTATTCTGCTATTTCAGATCCTCCTTAGGCCTGGGCATAATACCCGAACCCGAAGAACCGAACCAAACCCGACCTGAAAAACCCAACCCGAACTCGAATCCGAAGTTTTAAAATACCCAAACGGGTTCTAAACTTCACAATCCGAAAACCCGAACCCGAACCCGATCCGAACTCGAACCCGAACAAGTACCCGAACATATATGAAATATAAGTACATAGCTATAATATATTAGTAATATTTATACTTGTAATAGCCTAAGTGTCTAAGTTATTCGGATGTTAAGATATTTTCTGATGTTTTAGCTACTTTTGGTTAGATTAGGGTATAGAATACTTAAAATTTATAGATTTTCTGAGTATTTTCAATACTTTTCAAAGAATCGGATACATATTTTTAAATATTTGGATACTTCGGGTAAACCCGAATCCGAACCCGAAATACCCGATCCGAACCCGAAGTTTTAAAATACCCAAACGGGTCTTAGTTTCCTAAACCCGAAAAGCCCGAACCCGAAAAACCCGACCCGAACCCGATCCGAATATCCGAACGCCCAGGCCTAATCCTCCTCCTTGGATTGCAAACATTTTGTATGCTGATCTTTCAAATTAATATAAGTTATTTTGACAAAAAAAAACCCCTAAAATTAAATATTTTGATATAATTATTAGTGGGGTCCATACTATTATTTTGGTGATGATGTGGACACCCTAAGAGGAGAGAAAACTCTCCCATTATATATATATATATATATATATATATATATATATATATATATATATTTGGGGAGTACACTTTATAAGATACCCTTAACTAACCTTCCATTTTGTAAATAAGAATGCCATTACAAAAATCTTCTTTTGAAACAAATT